CGACAATTAAATTAGAAGAGTGATCTCTGTACAATGTCTAAAATACAGTCAAAAAACATTAATTAATATGTATTAAATTGTCAACCTTCTTCAACTATTTATTTGAAGTATTGCATAGGAAACAATGTGAACTGAATCGGGAAAAAAAAATTCCAATATATTACCACTCAGTCCCGAAAATAAAAAATTATCATCATGGCACATCATCAAAACAAGTTCAATAGACTTTTCAAAAACACTAAAAGAAAAGAAAGTACCTGATTATTGTGAGTTCATGTTTGAAAGCATTTATGAGTGAATTATTGAAATGATCAAAATTTAGAGTCATGACAGAAATAGTTTCAAAACAAACAACAATTTAATTTGACTATCTACTTAACCAGAAATCAAAGTGAAAAAAGTAGTAATATATGTAGTCAGAAAGGAACAAAGTCAAGCAGCATCAAACAACCTTGTTGATTGGCAAGAAGCACACACACATAAACATAGACATAAAGACAAAGATAAAGAGAGATACATGCTTATAGAACACATACACAAAGACAAACAAAGACACTAGCACACGCAAACATAAAGACAAAGACAAGAAACATAGATACAAAGACTGAGAGATACACAAACATACGCATACAAAGACACTTAACGCATACGCTCACAAACACAAACCCAGAGACACAAATAAAACACACATACAAATAAAGACAAAGACAGGGTATACACATAGAAAGAATGAGGCACAAAAATATAAACATGAAAAGAGACACACGAAGACAAACATAAACACCAAGCACACGCATAAAAATAGAGATGAAGTCAAAGCACACACAAACACAAATACAAAACATATATATGCACACACATAGAAATACAAAAAAGGAAGACACAAACAAACATAGAGCATGCATGATATCGCCAAGATTTATTATTATCAATAAATTTGAGAAAATAATTAAATGTGTTAGGAAAAATGTCACTAACATTCATCATAGGAAAGTATTATATATATATATATATATAAAAGACAAAAAGAGATTTTTATGGAGGAATGAGAATGATATCATAGAGTCTAAAGACAAAAAGTTATTTTACATGCCCGACATAAAAACATATTTGACCATATGATAGTATAAAAAACTTCACAAATATAAAAACTAAAATTTTAAATTAAAAAGTAATGCAATATAAAATATTAGGCTAATAATAATTGGATTTATGAAAGTTTAAATATTAAAAAAAATATAATGTTATTAACAAACACATAACATTTTAAAAAAATAAAAAGTAATTAAAAAAACCTGTTAAAATTACAAATAATGTGTTAAAAATATATAAATAACACTAAATATGTTTTTAATTTGTAAATAATTAAAAAAAAATTATTATCTTATTTTTAAGAAGAATAAAGTTATCAATTATTTCTTTAACACTTTTTTTATTAACTGAAATTTAACAAAAATCATAAAGCTTAATGAATGAGTCCTGCATCTCCTTAAAATTTATAATTTTTAATAAATTTGAATCAATAATAAAGAATATTAGAAAAAAATTGTCACTAATAGTCATCTTATGCAAATATACTCATGCCAAGAAGGATTTTGCAAGAAAATGGACACCAAGAAGCATAGAAGAATCTAGAAATATACTATATCCTCTTCCTGCCACATAGATTTCCTTCTACAAAATTTCCATCCACCTTAACAACTCAAAATGAAGAATTAAACACATGTCATCAGATTACAAAAAACTTGTACAAGTCCATAAAACAATATTAAACATTTTAAAACTCATACATAATGCCAATACTTGTCACCCAACCCAGCTGAAATTACTACATTTTAGGCGTCTAATGGTACGGAAACAAAGATATTATTTAACTCATACAACATATCCTCAAATAGAAAGCAAATAGTTCATTCAATAACATCTAGCCCTGCACTCTAGTCCGGAGAACCTATCTGATACAAATACCACTGCTCAAGTCCCTTTTTTTACTGCTCATGTCCCTCTCTTTCCCACTTTATATTTTTAAAAGTTTTAAATTTTTTGAAATCAACAAAAATAACTTATTATTTGAACCTTGAACCTACCATCCACAGAAACCAGATTTAAAATACGCCAATTATGTCAACAAAAAACATTACATTCATGAACCACCTTTTAAAAAAATAAATAAAAACATTACATTCATAAACCACCTTTCACGTGACATTTACGTAGCATTCATGTGGCCAATAGTTAATTCCATTTAAATAATTTGGACAGAAGTCTGACATTTGCAACAAATTAATTTATTAAGGACCAAATTGAGACTAAAAATAAGTGGAATTAAATTGAAATAAATAATTATTATAAATGACCAAAATAGGTTTTTAACCTATATTTTATTAACATATATTTATTTAAAAGAAGTAATACTTTTAAGATAATAATATTTTATTCTTAGATGTAATTTTTTTTTTATATTTCTTTCCTTTTTACAATATTACTTTTCCATTATTTTAAATTTAAGCTATTACTATTTTATAAACATTTTTTTTTAAGATTATAATGCTAATGCATTATTATATAGGAAAAAAATTGATATACATTCATGCACAAGTTTTAAACTTATAAACTTTTAATAAAATGTTTATATAAAAAATGTTTTAAATATTGATAATTTTTATTTTTTTTATTTTATAAATTTATTTGTTTTTTGTTATATTTTTAATAATATATTAATTTTTTATTATATTATATAAATAAATAAGCTAACCTATCAAATCTAAAAGTGTTTTGTATAAGTTTAAGTTTGACCTTTTTATATAAATAAATTATTTTAAAATTTTAAATTTGATATTTTTATTAAACAACTAAGCTAGACCAAACATTAAAGAGGGTTAAGTCATAGATCTCTATTTAAGGTCTGATCTATTCTCATCCCTAAGAGAAATGGTAGTTTATTTTCGAAAAGCTTCATAAATGAAATAATGTTTAAAATTATATAAATTTCTTTCATTTTTATATTTTGTTATTCAAATTTAAAATATTTTTGCTAAATTATATTTTCAAGATTTATTTTCATATTTTATCTCTTAAAATATTAATTTTTTTATACATTCTAAATAAATATACAGATATTAAAAATATAATATGATACAAAAATAAAGTCTGATTACAAATTTTTTTAGTTTAAAATCTATTTGAGAAATCCTTAAAAAGTTCATAAATAAAAATTTATATATATATTAAGTCAATTGAGTTACGTTTCGTATGTGCAGATTAATTTTTAACTAGCAGTTTTAGAATATTATGTGAGTATTTTTGTGAAAAAAAAAATTACTAAACTCGTTAGAAAATATAACAATTTTATATATATATAAATTAGAATACATATTAAGAAAAATATTTTTAAAGACTATTTTTGAACAATGATTTTTTAGCTTTTCTTTTGGGGGAAAGTGTTTTTACATATTTTTTAAAAAAGCTTAATTTCTTCCAAATTACTGTCTTCATTAAATAGATTCAACTTAAATCAATTAATTTTTTAAATGATAATAATTGATAAAATAATAATTAATATATTTTAAACTTTTTTTTCACTACATGTGTCTTAAACATTAATTAATGTGTCTTGAACTTTAAAAATGATATATAAATATAAACAAATTTTTTCCTTAAAGAAACTGACAATTAAAAAGAAATTGATCCAAAATTAAATTTAAGCCTAAAATTTATTTTTTTTTACAAAATTATATGTAATTTTAATCAAACAATGATTTATTATTTATACATTAGTTATATCATATTTTATTAGTTTATGTCAAGTTCAGAATGCATAATATAATAAAATTATCTAATTTATTATTTTGGTGCCCACCAAACATATTTTAGATTAAATTTTATCATGTTCTTATTATATTTTTCTATCTTATCTAATTTATTATTCTTTTATTAAAAATTATTTTTATATATTTTTATTATTATTTTCTGTAAAGATTTTTTTTCTTCCTCTAAAAGTTTTTCTTCTTCTTTAATTTGTTTTTCTCTTCATCCAATTTTTTGTATTATTTTTCCGCAAAACTCACATTTCTCTATGATAAAAAAAAATCTTGTAACTTTTATTTCTTTTCTAAAATAACACGTCTAAAGTAATTTTGTTATTATACTTATACAATAATTTATTTAATCATAATTTTATAAAATATAGAATTAATTTTTAATTTTTAGAATTTATGATTCTTAATTTTTAAACATTGCTATATATAATTGATTTTTCTTATTTTATTATAATTTTATTCTTTATAAACTAAAGTTAACAGAATATTAACTAGTAATTTTTTTGTTATTTTTAATAGGTTTAAATATGTTTTAGTCTCTCAAATTTAAGATAAATTTATTTTTAATTCCTTGAATTTAAAAATAATTTCTAATTTTTGTAACTTTTAAAAATTTGATTTTAATCTCTCAAGTCACCAATAACATATCTTAAACTAAAAATGATATATTGAAATAATTATGTAACATCATTTAATATGATATTTTCGCTAACAGTAACACTAGTGGACAAATTTTATGTAATAGTTTTTAACGGATTTTCTAACAAAATTTAAATATAAGAATCCAAATAAAAAAAATTTAATTACAAAGATAAAAAAAATTAATTAAATTTGAAGGACTAAAAATAAATTTACCTTAAATTTAATTGACTAAAAATACATTTAAATCTTTTTAATATTATTGTGATGTATAATATCATTTTTTAAAAATTATTTAGTTATTTTTTATATTTTATTTTATTTTCAGTTAAAATTTAACTTGTAATTTTTTAATTTTTATAAAATAATATCTTATAAATACTTAAATAATAATACATCTAAGCATATAAATACATAAATAACAATACATCTAAACAGTTTAAAATTATATAAATATTTTTTAACATGTATTACTAAATATAACAATTTATTAAATTTTAAATACTCGTTACATAAAATTATAAGAATTTATTAAATAAGATATCAAATAAATTATTTATCCAAACACACTCGTTTACTATCGACATTTTTAAAATTGTCAAAATCAACATAACAGAGAATAACACTCATGACTCAACATAAGACAAGAGGGAGCACCATACTGTATACAGAAATTGTTTGGAGGGGAAACAAAACTTATTTTTATGAGAACACTGACAGGCCACGAGGCATTACTTTTACAATTTAACAACGGTAGGCTTATAGTCAATGACAATGACTTTCTCCAAACAGGGAAGGAACAAATTTGCATATTCAACATGGGCAGGATGAGCTACATACTCTGCAACGCCTTCTGTACTCTCAAAGGTTGATTCAAAGACATGAGTGAAACCTTGATGCATGTTTTCAGCACTTAAATCCTTGCCCCTGCATTACATAATTCATATATCAACATTGGATATGTATTGATTTGAAATGTTTTAATCAAGCAGCAAGAAGAGGTTCAAGTGCAAATGTGTAGAAAATAAGATGCAATGCACTTGTTGAAAGAAATTTCTCAATCACCTGTACAAGTTCCATCTTTTCTACATGATGGCATGTACAACAATCCAAACTTATATTCTTTTAGGTTTTACCAGACCCAAGAAATTGTAAATTTGCCAAACTCACTAGTAAATTTTTCTGAAAGCATTTATAAGAAAAAAACATAAAAAGAAAAATTAAAATAAACTTTTTTATTAGTTAAAACTAATTTATACGCAAGTTAAAAATAAGATTTCGAAGAAATTACTAAAAAATAATTTCTACAAATTAGTTTACATATTAAGACATATTTAAATAAACTTCTCCATAAACACTTTTAAGAGAGAAAAATAAGAAAGAAAGTGAAGTTAGCAGCTTCTTTACAAGTTAATTTGTTGAAGCTCTTCCTTATTTTCATCTCCAAAATCTTCATTTTGCATAAATCTTAATTTTAATTTATGTAAAAGCTAAATTTAACTTGTAAAAAAGTTTATTTTAATTTTTTATCTTTTTTTTTTAAAGAACTTCTGAAAAAAATTATCAAACAATGCCCTAGGGATATGATAAACTTAGCCTCCAGTAGCCATCCCAGATCTAACGATAACACCTAAGGCTAGTTGCCATTCAAGTACAACAATAGATAGGACAATTTTCCAGATGGGAGATCATGGAAGCTTATACATCATCACAAAGCTAAACCAAACATGCATCTCACTAATACCAGGCTCGCTTGTGTAAATAACAAATAACAAGACCCTATAATTCAGAAAAGGCAAAGATCATTTTCAGAAAACCCTGCAATTTCACCAATGATTTTTTAAAAAAATCTCAACAAAAATCCACCAATAACATTTCTGAATACTACTACAAGCACAGTGTCCACTGGATCACAATATTCCACTGACTCTACTCATCTGTAGTTGGTAAATATTCATCAGATAACCTAGTTCATATTCATCAGCTAACCCGGGCAAACCCATTAAAAATTCAACTTTCTTGGTCAAAAGGTTTAATCTTTTGCAATCCCTGACTGTATTTTGCCCAGATCTAAGTGGCAGAAAGAAAAGAAAGACAGAGATTAAATAAGGTACCAATGGAATGACTTCATGGGTGGGATGAGATTGACTAGGTTAGCATAGTCCTTGATAAGCTCCTCAATTCTTTCTGGAGTGATGTCGTCTTTGAACTTTGCGACGAGTACGTGTTTCACCAATCCTTTTGCTTCCTCCATTTCTTCTTTCACAACAAACTCATCTCCGTTTCTCCCCGTCTATTATATAGGCATTCTCAACAAAATGGAAAATAATTTTTTTTTTTTCAATATTAAAGTTACTACAGATGCACCATTTAGAAATATTTATTGTGCCCCTAATTATTGTAAAAATGCATCATATTGATGATATTTTGTAATTAAAGGAAAATGTATCGCATATGATTCCTCTAAACTCTAAAAATTGCTCAAAGTTTAGAGAATAAAATGCAGTGACAATGTTTACTAGAAATTCAACTGTAAAAGATAATGAAAGCTTGAGATGGGATAAAATGTTTATATAACAAAATCTAAAATATATTATTATATCAATAATTCGTCTTTTAATAAATAAATATAATTATATTTTAATTTTTTTTTTTTAAATTCTTTTCATTTGAGATGAATCCAATCCATATTTAAAATATCTTTATATTCTTTATGTATATTTTATTTATTTACAAAAATTAACAAATTTAATATAAAAAAATATTTACATATGAGAATATGTATTATTTATTCTATTAAAATATTAAAAAAATTAAAAATGATTTAATATTTATTTTAAATAATTAAAAATATTTAATAACAATTATTTAATAATTTTTAATGAGCTCCTTTTTGTACCCTTTATGCTGTACACAGGATGTTAAACCATGTCAGCTGGTGCCAAAAAAAATCAGGATTTTATGAGTTTTTTTAATAGAACGTGTCACCAGTATTACCAAAAAGATGATGGCCTTATCATTTATTATTATTTTGTGAATATCAAAATTTAAATATATTATCATATGTATTATTCACGTTATTTTTTTTTAAAATTAGAATTTTATTTCAATAATATACTTTATTGTACTGAATAAGTTTTGTCCCAATAGCATATATTATTAGACAAAAGCATATTCCATCTCTACTTAGAAAATGAGTTTTAATGTAACTTTTAATTATACATATTATTGATATAAAATTTAAATTGGAATTGGTGAACAATATCAACATATAGAGATTGTACTGTATGTAAGTTTTATTTTTTTATTAATTAAAATAATAAAATAAAAACATCAAATGCATGATTGAAATGGATTGATAATGTACTAATATAATTTAAGATTTGAATCATTTAAAATACAAGATATATTTTAGAGAATAAAAAAATTAAATAATAATAATTGATTAAAATTTTATAGTTGATGTTTTAATAACTTTATAATCACTTTGGTGCATATACTTTATCATATAATTCTAATTATTAATTTTTTAATTAAAAATTATTATGACAGTAATTATGTATGAAAATTAAGATTATAGATTTTTAAAAAAATATTAATATTATGTGCAAATTATTTCATCTATTTGTAATATTACTAATATTTAAATATAATTTTGAAAAATTGTTACTTATAGTAAACTTTTCAATGAACAATAAGTCATTTATTCAAGTAATACTAAATTTGGCTTCTTAAACAAGATCTAAGATCTAAGTCTTGTATATGAAAAGAAAACATAATTAAAAGAATAAACTCTAAAATAGTAACCAGATAAATTTTCTAATAAAAATTAATAATTGACGAAACTAACAAATACTTCATATTCATTGTTAAAAATAAAATACTTCATATTCAGTTAAAAATAATTGAAATAAAAGAATGAGTAATAAATGTCTTTAAAAAGTAAACACCAAATAAACGTATTTTTATATATTATAGATAATATTTATCATCAAGAATAAGACTCAATAGTCAATTAATTTTCTTTATTCTCACATGATACACTGTTGCACATTTTCACACAAGTCTTCCCCTATTAGAAAAAAAAAATGACACCAACAACATACCTATATATTTTTTATGAATGCCTCTAAAATGATTTATTTATTTTTTAGAATGTGTTTGGTCACACTTGGTGCAGCTAAAGAAACATTTACTCAAATTACTTTGAATTATATACTGTAAATAAAATAGGTCATACTGATACATGCGCTTAGTAGAGTGATACAATAATTACCATATCCGGGGAGGATTATAAAAAATCATTATAAAATGATTTAACATGTTTGAAGTTTCAAACGCAGTGAAGATTGTTAAATATGTTGACATTCAAAATTCCTCTCATAATTTTATGGAGGAGAAATTGTTTAATTGTAACAACAGATAGAAGATAGTACCAGCTGGGCAATTGAAACGTCCTGCCTCTGCGATGAACTCTACAAAATTCAAAACTTCCCACAAGCATGGAGTGGACTAATCATAAAAACTGTATAATTAATATCATGTACAAATTGTTAGAGGGGAAAATGCAACACTAATTAATGGACTAGTCATAAATGACAACTATGCTGACATCTGAGTAACCACTGGAGCAGGTGAAGATAAATAACAAAGCAGTGGCAGGGACCTCCAATTCTTTATAATCTTCCCTGCAATGTCGAATGCTGAAATAAATTTTAAATCAAAACACCTCAAGAAGATTTGAAAGTTTGAATTTAACAGAAAAAAATGCTTGAATGTAATATTTTGGATTTGTTTGACATATGACCACAAATTCAAAACATGATTATCTATTGATTCACAATTATACAGCATGATTATCTATTGATTCACAATTATACAGCATTCAATATACACAAGTTTCAATTATAGACACAGGTAGAGTTCAAGGAATTTCAGCTGCAAAGTATAAATATCTAGAAGATATCTCATAAACCAAAGAGGGTTGATCTGAGTTGTGATAGACTTGGGTCCCTTACGCAAGTGATCGGGGAGTTGAATCTTGACTCGTGTACGAAGAAAACTTAGTTGGGAGGGAACAACCCACCTTTGAATGTCTTTAGATCTCCAAAAGAGATTTGTCTCCGTTTGATGTATCATATGCGTATAAAAAAAATCTCATAATATCATTATTGTATGTTAGAATATCTTACAGAATTTTATTGGAGGACAACAAAGGAAAGGGCAGGAAAGGAAATTTTTATATTGAGAGTAGGGGGGGAATGAAGGTGGCCAAAATTTCCCCTCACTCAATTTTGACTTCTCCCAAATAACATTAATACCCACAAAATTTCGTGATTTCCAATCAAATTTTATCAATAGGGGTGAGAGTGTTCAAAAGAGGGAGTGTTCCTAATATTTCTCATTAATATGAATAAAGGTTAGTGCTTTGACTTTAGTATACTCTGTCTATCAACAATACTTACAGTTAATTAACTTGAGCTGTCTTTATCTCTTTTTCTTCCACCATTACCCTAATATATAATTCTTAAGAGTTTCAATTATAAAAGATAGAGTTCAAGCGTTTTCGTCAAAAGTCCATAGTATTCAATGTGCTAAATCTAGTTTTTTTCAATTTAATAGAGAATGGAAAGAATAAACAGTTGGTTTTTTCTGAGAGAAGTTGCTTGATATGTGCAGGAATAACAAATCCTCCTACTTCAATAAATGAAGACTTAATTTCAGCACGACATTTTCCTTAAATCTGTCAAACAATCACTTGTTACTGAAATTTTAGCATTGTTCCAAACATCGATACAGTAAAACTTGATAAATAAACTGCAGGACAGTAGTTTATAATAAAACAAAAGTTTAACTACCTTTTTGGTTCCTATAGTTTCATAAATTTTACTTTTTAATCTCTATAATTAAAAATATTTAATTTAAGGTTCTATACTTACCATTATTGTTTCCTGATATTTTTTTTATTGTTTTGTAAACTTTACCTTTTAATCTTTATTACAATAAATAACAAGAACTAAACAATTTTAAGTTTTAACTATATTGATTAAAAGGTAAAGTTCATGAAACTGAAGGAAACAAAGGAGTATTTAAACCTAAAACAGATCGAAAGGGGATATAGAAGTATTAGAGATGAAAGATTTCACTTACAACCATAATGAAATTTTACGACTCTCCACTTCTTCATCAAGAACTTTACATGAGCGGGAGACGAAAAATGGCATCTAAGTTGTTCTTTACTACCCATTTATGAGGATAGAACGAATAAGATGATTCAAGATCAATATGCCAGACCATAACTCTAGAGCAGTTGTCCATTAAGCCCTCCATTTGACTCTCATCTTCAACCACCTGCTCAATCAATGTGCTAACCTGCATATAGAAAAGCAGTTCACAGTTGATGAAGGCATAACATGAGGGCATACAGAACAATGCCAAACTGCACTTTATTAATGTTACCTAATCTGATTATAAATGTTTTCACAGCTTAGTTAGATACAGAACATGATATGTTACACTATAGATAAAATCAATAAAAAAGAAGATATATATCAATTTACTAACCCACAAACTTTCCTTGACTGAGTCAAGTTGCCTAATAGGGTCAAGAGTGGGGCGGTGCCACTTCTTTGGATCCCAGAGTATTGTACTATTAAAGGCAAAACCAGGCATTTCAGCATGAAACCTTTTAGATTTCCCATTTGATTCCTCTGTATGCCATCCAATTACTCGGCTTCCATCACAAATGGGCCCTTGCATGACAATGTTACTTTTATCCCCTGATAATCTTGCTACAGTCCATGTTCCAAATCGCCTGCAAATCAGAATGAGGATATGTCCCAATTATCAAATGAAAAAACCGTTGAAAAAGCAAAAATATTGTAGAAAAGAATATACCAGCTAGAACTTTCTGCATAACCTAATTTCATTTAAGAGTGAGACTAAGAGGTGAATAACAGAAACATTATTGGGAAAAATTAAAGTTCACACAACAAGTCCAATAGTGTTAGGCATGATTGTGTATTAAAAAAATTCAAGCTCCACATCAACTAGAGATTAAACAAACAATGAATATACAAGTGTAGGTCAACCCTCATCTTACAAACCGGTTTAGTAAGAATGAGTTAGGTTCAAACTCCACATTTTAAAATCTTATTAGAACTATCTTGGATCTGTTGCTAAAAGGGTCATCCATCATTTATACATGCATCAAGCACAATAGAGTTGGATGTAAGGGGGTATATAGGAAAAAATACTAAGTCCTGCCTATAGGAGAAATGCTAATTCATCATATGATTTTACACCAACGAGGTGCAGGGCAGGGGCTTCCTACCATTGTGGAATTCTACCAAATTAAAGGCAAGCATGATTGATAGAATTTGATTGCTAAGGTTGTTTTAAAAGAAGGAAAGCCTCCTATTCTGACATCACTTTTCACTACACAGAAGACCTTTGCAGATGCAATGTATGTACGTAGTCTCTACCTCAGAATCTGACAAAAATTAAAATATGACACCTAATCAATCAACAACACTTGTAATGAGTTAATGACCTTCCCCGTACCACTCCTTCAATAGGTTAGGCAGGCAAAATTTGAACAATGTCTCTTAAACAAGTGACAATCAGAAATTCATAATAAGTTAAGAGAGATACTAGCGACACACTCTCTAACAAACTCTACTATTAGTTTGAAAGTTACAAAATTCTATGAGTCTAGGACGTTATTAAATAAATTCGTCTAATGATTTTGTAATTTTCAACAAATTTTAACTAATAATAAAGTGTGCTAGAGAATGAGTTACTACAACTTATCATAAGTTAAATGCAGGCATAATTGTTGGTATCTTATCCATATTACCTCAGTACATTACATATATCAGAAACATTAGACTATAAATTGCATTTGAATAGCAAAAAGATGCTAATAAAATTAATATCTCAGAGACTAGAAAGACCTTATATCTCTCATTTGCTGAAAGAGTTCCACTGAGTAGATGTTATCATCATCTGCAAAGTAAACAATTCCATCAAGGCGATGAGTTTCGATGTGAGCTATTGCAACGTTTCTTTGAAGAATGCTCCTATGGCTTGGGTTGGTTAGATTCGTTTTACAAATGAGATGTCTGTACATAATCCCACTACTCCTTAAGATGTCAGCAGTTTCTTCAGATTGGGAAGTCATCTCAACAACAATCCACAACAAGGGAGGTGGAACCAATTTTAATGTCTGTGCCAAGCGATGCAAGTAGTATGCTTGAAATAGATGATTGTATGTAGGGGTCACAATTATGAGAAGCTTCTTCTGAGACGCCAAATATGGATTTTCACTGACTTGGATTTGGCTATCTGAGATATTATATGCCACTCCATCTATTAGTTCCTGGTCTTTTACAGCTGGATACAAAGTAGCATTAGAATTCACAGCCTCATTGATCGATGGAGTCACATTTATCTTTAAATTCTCAAATGGCTGGAAATTTCCCACTGCAGATATCATCTCAAAGGAGAAGGCTTGTTGTTTTTGCATGACATTCATGGACATGTGTGTTGATGCAAGTGGAATGAGTCCAATAGAAACACCAACCATAAAACAAATGAAAAAATGTAAAAGCACCTTCCTCCAAAGCTGTCCCCTCAGCTTTGATCTCTCAAATGCCCTGAAAGACCTTGGGGAGAAAACACCAAAAACAAGAGCTCGGTAATCCAATCCAACCGAAGGTGTGCAGTTCTGAGGGCTCAATGAGGTCTTCGACAAAGGAGAAGCTACTGAACAGACTTCACCATTTGCTACAGCCCCAGCTCTAGGCACTGGGGACAAGGTTCTTCTAATAGATGCCATTAACAGAAGCCCAAATCTATGTTTAGTAACCCCAAATGAGCAGTGTGAGTACAATTATGGCAGGAATGTATCCAAAGCAATCATAAACTTCTAGTCTTTCAACGCCTAAAACAACAATTGTCATGACCAACTGGCATTCACCAAGAGCTTTCTGGTGACCATGTTGCAGAGCCAAAGGTGCAAAATAAAGCTGTCATAATAAAACAATGTAAGCAAAGCATATGAGGTTAAGTACTTAAACAATGTAAATTGCAAGCAATCCTTCCAAGAACACATCAAGAGTGATCCCTCCTCAAATCTCTCAAAATCAACAAAGCATATAAAAACATCACAAGTGTCTATAAAACCAAAATGAGTTATTAATCAGCAATGAGGAACCACTAGAAATCAAAACAAACAAAGCATATAAAAATATCATGTGTCTATAAAACCAAAATGAGTTATTAATCCAAATGAGGAACCACTAGAAACTGTGAAAGTATGAACATACCAAATACCAGTGTCTTATTCAAGATAGCATTTTTAACAATGGAACAAATTTAATTACCCAAATGACAGCGAAGCAGAATGAAGCAACATGATTGTTTCAACTTTCCAAACAAGTGGGACCGCTAAAGGAGAGGAACCCTGGCACTGCTGTTGAGTGATGCCCTTCCGCCGCAACTAGTTCTATGGTTGGGGGTGAGGCAAATTAACTGATTCAGGATTCTATGCTGTTCTTAGATCTAAAAGGAAGGAACTTCAAACTAGAAAAGTAAACAAAACCTCCAAAAAAAACAAAAGAGGAAAGCTAAAGAAAGAGAAAAATACTTATAAAGACAGAGACAGTGATATGTTTCTTTTATTTTTTAAAAGGAAATTAATGCCCCTTCCGCGTCATGTGATTAACGATGTTAGCGGGACAGGGAAGAAAAAAAACAATGAAAGTAAATAAAAAAGACGAATCTATGGAAAATTTTGTGTGGAGAAATCAATTGGTAATCATGTAAAATTATATATGAAATTAGTTTTATATGAAATGTAATTAAACATGATTAAGATTTAAAAAAAAACTTAAATTTATGATTTATAATGATTCACTTAGATCATGAAAATTTAATAGCGCTACTAACGTGTTTGAATCAAGAGTAAATTAAATTCATCATGATTTTGTTTATTTATTGTTTTAAAAAACTACTCTCTATATTATGAATTTTTTATTTATTTTTTTTAGCCTTTTATACATAAATTAAGAAATATTTAATTTATATATATTTGAACTAAACTATTTTCATTTATTAAATATAATTATTTTTTAAAATAAATACTTAAATTTACGATTTATAATGATTCACTTATATCATGAAAAATTAATAGAACTACTGGTGTGTTTGAATAAGAGTAAATTAAATTCATCGCCATTTTGTTTATTTGTTATTTTAAAAAAAAATTACTCCTATCTTATGAAACTATTTTTTAACTCTTTTACACATAAATTAAGAACCAACAAATTTATATACTTTAATTAAATTCTTTTTATTTATTAATTTACAGATTTTTATAGCATTTTTAATTACTTGATCTTGCTTCCTCTATGTTTATAAACAATAAAAATTTAGATGTTTTGGACTTAAATTAATAAATCTTAACTAAGTTAACTTTATTTAATTCACTTAATCTATAAACGCTTATAATGAGAGTACTATCTATAATAAATATGATTAAAAATATTTTAGTAAATATAATATATATTTTATATAAAATCATAAAAAGATAATGTATTTAATTATTTTTTTTAATCTATGTGAAACTTTTTTATAAATATAATATATCAGAGAGAGTACCAATCAAAATAATATTTATGCTCCATTTAAACTAGTCTTATTACTCAACTATGTGAGAGAATAATTAAAAACATTTACATAAAGGTCTATTGAAATTCTAAAAGAACCAAAGTTTTAAAACAAAACTAAAAGATTAAAGCCTTAAATATGTTTTGAGTTCTTATAAATATTGATTTTTATTGTTAGTTCATGTAAAATTTTGTCAATGTTAGACCCTTGACATGTTTTTAATGCTCCTTTTTAGTTTTTATCACCAACTCTAGTTAGATTAATGTTAAAATGGGTAACAAAATATAAAATATTAATTAAAGTAATAAATAGTATATTAAATTGAGATAATTAGATTTTTATGTGTATATTTTATTTATTTATATACTTTATATAAATAAGATAATTATATATGTAATGTAGTAAGTTATTTCAGAAGGTCCAAAAGTCCAATATGGGTGATTTAGTAGCTCAGAACGGGTCGTTCCTAATCTAGAACAGACTGTTCTAAACTACTAAATTAACCTGTAAATCGTAGTTGAGAACGGACTGTTCTGGATGGAGTACAGGCCGTTCTGGATGGAGTACGGGGCGTTCTGGAGGGAGTACAGACCGTTCTGGATGGAGAACGGGCCGTTCTGGATGAGTCCCAAAACGGGTTGTTCTGGTTTCAGAATGGACCGTTTTGCATGTGATTTTTACACATGATGAAGGGGTGTAGAACGGGCCGTTCCGGATTCGAAATGGGCCGTTATGGCCACTCCTGAACCTTTATAAATAGGCGTTGAGGGGGGGGGGAGAAAAGGGGAACTTAGAGAGAAGTTTTAGAGATAAGGACTCTGGGCTAGGAAGCTTTCTTTTGGAAGATGGAGGTTCCCAGGTTGAGCTTCGGAAGGAAATTCCACTTCTTCTCAACTCTTGGCAATGGTGAGCCAATCTTCAAGTTAGGGAAGCTTCATGCATTGTTTTCCTTGAAAATCGTTAAGTTGTTGGGTGTAGATTGAGTTAAAAAGTTGGGTTTTGTTGTTTGAAGGAAAAGAGATGATTGATTTAAATTATTGGTTGCATGTAGTTGTTCTTGTGTTTCAGAAGTTGTTTATAACGTGGTTAAGTTGCTAAGTTGCCTGATGAAGATGAGTTGAGTAGTTGATGACTTACGTTGTTTATATGTTGTGTATTTGGTGAAACTAAGTGGTTTTTATGTTGTTAATTGTTAAATTATTAATAAGTTGAGATGTATAAGTTGAAGTAGTTCATTATTGTAAAGTTGATATTGTGTTGACTGTAGTTGTTTAAATTAAGTAGTATAAAGATGTTTATTGCTGTAAAGTTGAAAATTGTTTATCGTTGTAAAATGTCTATTGTTGTATTGTTGTAAGTTGTCTATTGTTATAAGATGTCTATAATTGTATTATTGTAAGTTGTCTATTGTTGTAAGATGTCTATAGTTGTATTGTTGTAAGTTGCTTATAGTTGTTAAGATGTCTATTGCTGTAAAGTTGTTAAGATACCTATTGTCATAAAGTTGTAAAGTTGTCTATTGTTGTAAAGTTGGAAAGTTTGGGACATATGGTGAAGATATATGTCCTATGTTGAGATACATAGTACTAAGGTGATAAGTTGAAAGTTGTTTTAAAGTTGAATCCCTTAGTACTATGTGAGCGACATGGAAGTAGTCGATACATGTCATGGTTGAATGACCAATTTGAATAAGGTATCTAGTTAGAGATGTAGTCTTTAACTAGATACTGGAGGATGCGTGGTACTTGGAGGACAGTGGGTGGGTTAACTCCATATGTGGATTGGTAATTTTTTTATATAAAAAATTTATTTTAGTAAAAAATTTGCACGAGACATACGACTTTTATTTAGGATTTTTTTTATAACAATTATCAATTGACCGTCTATATATGTATACACGGGTGAAATCGTGATTGGTTTATATGTTATTTTTATTGATAACTTGTAAAATAAATATTTTTTAGACGTTTATTTCTGATAAGTATTACAGATTTTATTTCTAAATTTATAATATTTGTTATGAAAAATTATTTTTCTTAAAAAAATATATAAGTAAAAAATAGAAAAAATATTAAATAAATATAAATACGTTATTATAATAATTTATATTATATAAATGTTATATTATTTTTTGGTTTTCACTTTTCTTAAAATTCATTTACCCTTTAATTTATTTATCTATATTTTTTAAAATATTTTTTTTTTACCTATATTTGTCACTATAATCAAAACCTATTTTAATGACAACTAAAGATTCTCTTAGTGATTGTGCATTATCTTTTATAATAACAATTATTATTTTAAAATTTAGAGACATAATATGCATATTTTCATCTTATATACTCTACTATACACAAAGGCTATATGGATTGTATAATTTATTTTTAGTTTTCATTTTTTTTATACTATTATATTTTTTATAACTATCTTATTTTTAATTTATACTTTTGATAGACATAATAATTTATATAAAAAGTAAATTTTAATTATGGTGTCAAATGAACTTTTAACATATAATTAACACACGTGAAATAAGGTTCACGTACTAACAAAAAATTAACTGACTTTTATTTTCTGTGTAGTTATTTTATACTAATGTAAAAGAGAAACTCCCACGATATTTTTTTTAAAATATGATGTTGAGAATTGTTTTCTCCTAATATCTAAAGTAGGTTCACGTACTAAAATAATAATAAAAAATATTAGAATAACAAAAAATTAATTAATTGACATTTATTTTTTTTGTGTATTTATTTTATACTAGCATAAAAGAGAAATTCTCACAATAAACTTTTGAAAATATGATGCTGACAATTTTTTCTCCTAATATCTAAAGTTTTTTTCATAAGTACCTTTTCGTTCCTTTTTTTTTTCTCATTCATATTTATTTTATAGCTAAATCGGGGCAGTTCCACTAAGTATTATCTCCTAATTTTGTGACTACCAATCTTGTATTTTATAATATTTATTGTAGTTGTCAAAGCTGTTTTGTGTAACGACCCGGCTGGTCACTACACACGGCACAACACACTAGAAACACCGCACAGAAAAGAACAATTGTATACATATAGAGTCTATAATATACATATACATGATCTAGTCTGAATAGAGTTAAAGTGTACAAAAATTACAATCAAAAGCTACTATCCCAAGTAGTTCAACAACAAAATAATCACAAAAGAGATCAGCTCCACTGGTCCGCTGAAGACTCACCACTAGACATCCACCTATCCCTGCTCTGCTCCCATACATAGTATGATCATTGCAGTCCAAACATCATGGAAACAACAAAGGGTAAGCTAGTGTAATTAAAAATCAACATATAAATATATGGCAATATGATAAACAACAGCTACAGCTTATACCACTCAACAATATCAGCACCGCAATGCGGCAATATCAGCACTGCTTAGCAGCAATAACAACACCACTTAAGTGGCTATAACTGCACCGCAAAGCGGCAACAACAGCACTGACTTAGCGGCTATAACAGCACCACATATGTGGCTAATATCAGCACCGACTTAGCGGCTATAATCTCACCCAGCTCAGCACAGCACAACACAGCACAGCACAGCACAGCAATTCCACACACTTATTTCTCCCGACTCAGCCCAACATTCTATAGTTCCACTATACTATAATTTAACATTTTAATTCATCGATTTCAGCTCAACTATATACCTCTAATACAGCTAAACATTATTATCACAGCTTTATCACCTAGTCAGCATGGCGTATACATCAAATACAACTTAGTTCAGCATATAACAACATTGATTAACAATCTCAGCGCAATTCAACATCCAACAGCATATATGTCAATATCTCTTTGCGCGCCCAGCGCACTCGAGGTCGTGCCTAGCGCGGCTTAACCCGAGAGCACTAGGGGCCAGCGCGCCCAGCGCAAGAGTACTCGTGCCCGGCGAGACTCAACCCGAGAGTCCAAGGCTATCACGCGCCTGGCGCAATTCCAATTGCGCCCAGCGCCTACCAGGCAGAGA